CGTTGAGGGGTAGTTGTTACCCTTCGTTAGTGAGGGTCTCAGTGAGATGGCCGGCTAGATCAGATTTGTTCTCATTCATTGATAAGTACTCTTCCATCCACAGTTTTACTAGAGATAGGGGGACATAAGATAATTCATGCTTTAAAATGTTGAGCATCTGTATAGTTATGTCAAGCATGGGTAGCATTGAGTATTTATTGTAACAACTTTCTGTCAGCTTTGATTGTGTTATATTAATTCCATTTTGTGGATACAGTGCCTTTGTACATGGTAGCAAAAGCCATAGAGTTTGCTTGTTGAGACCATCATGAAATGAAATATTTTTCCGCCATTTTTTGCTGCACAATCATGATCAGAGCTTTTATCTCTCATTTTTCAGTCATTATCAAATCAAATGTCACAGATAAGAGATACTCTACTATGATCAGCTTCTTCCTTGGCTTCATCAACTGTATTACTCACAGTAGCAACAAACACTTGGAACACTTTAAACCATTTTAGTTATGTGACAAGATTTTTCACATCATCTGTGTCATGCTTCATTCTGGAGAGAAGGCTATTAATATGAATGTAGACACTTTCATCTTCTGAATCCTCAGGTGAAAGAGGCATCTATTGATATGTGGACTTTCTCAGACCATATGATAAAAAATTTGTCTCTAGCCTGATCGTTTCATGCAATGTCAGTTATGTCATTGTATATCTTACATGTTTGGTACATCCACTCTATGACCTGGTCACATGTAACTTGGTTGAACTGTTGGTTATTCCTCTTTACTACAAAATTTCAAGAAACTCCTCATATAGATTAGGTGCACTGTTTTTCATGTATGTGATATACTCCATGCCTCATCTAGCATAATTTGTGTAATTATAGTTGGTAAACCAAAGAAGCATGACTGTAAAAGCTTGAAAATATAGTTACTGTTTGTCATTTCTGTGAAGTTTGGATAAATTTCAACATTTAACTATTCATTGAATTCAACAAGAAGGTTTTGGGATTAATGAAGTGTACATCCTGTGTTTTCTACAGCTCTACTGATATCGTCAAGATTGGTTTTGTTT